TGATTCCCTTCATTAGCCGCACCTGGGAAGACAGTGTTTAAAAAGGGAAGCTACACACAGCAAAGTTGTTGGAAGCAAATTTTGAGTTATCTGTTATTGTCGAGGCTTATCTGGGTTCCTGGCATCTTCCCAACTGTGTGTGTTTTGCTGGCCTTTCCAGTTTGTAATTCCTTCTCCTGCCCTGTCCGGTTCATGACTACAGTTTGGTTTGTTTGGATTTTAAGTTACAGTTTGTGTGTACCTTGTTTTGGACTGAATTTTCTGCAGCCCAAGGCTGTACCTGGGAGAGTTTTTTTTTTCTCCATCTGAAGATAACCTGGACATTGGGGGCAAAGTTGGAGGTATTAAAGGGCGTCTTCTTACTTATGGGACTGTGTTGCCTTTGTGCCATGCCCTGGGTCATCTCTCTCTCTCTCTCTCTCTCTCTCTCTCACACACACACACACACACAATGAACAGAGAGCAGACGAGGTGCAGGAAACAGGAGTTCTTTGCTTTATGTTCCCAATACAAAAACCGCCGAGGGAGTCGGGGGAGAAACCTGGCCGGCGGGCGCTAAGGGAGGGTCCTCCTCAGATGTCAGAGATGGAGAGCAGGAGGGCGGTGGGAGAGGAGGGGGCTCTCCTGTTGCCGTGAATCTGGCCCTTCCAATGGTGCTCCTGCGCCACGTCCAAGTTATCTCCAGATTCCAGGATGTCCGGGACTGGCAAGGAAGAGAGAAAACAGGGTTACCACTCATTGCACGAAGGATTGGTTCAAAATGGGGGTCCCTCCTGACACCACCACCCCTTTAAAAGCAATTAAGAGTGATCGCTCGGTGATCCACTCTGTCACCCGTGACCGAATATGACGCTGGTTGGATGGCATCAGGAGCCATTTTTTCGCTCCTCCGTTTTCATCTCTTCCTTTTCTGTTCCAGACAAATATGAAAAATTATGGCGGGGAAAAAAAAGGGAAAGACCTCGAGTTTATAAGTCGTTGTGGACAGGAAGGACTTTGGGGTTTAATGTGGAATTTGATTCTCCTTCTGACATAGGAGAAAGGAAGGGCCGAAATCGCCATATTGGTGTAGAGTTAAGGACGCAACTTTTTAAGACTTGTGGGTTTCGACTCTCAGGATTCTCCCCAGCCAGCATACATAGCTTACTCTCTTGTAATCCCTTCCTCTGCAATCTCTCTCTACTTGAGGAGATTAAGAGAGAGAGAGAGAGAGAGAGAGAGAGAGAAAAAGCAGGCATGGCTGGCTGGGGAATTCTGGGAGTTGAAGTCCACCGGTCTTAAAATGGCCACTTTTGGTGTAGGCCCTAAAGGAAGGTAAAGGGTGAAGTTTCCCCTCCTTGCACATCCGTGCTAGTCGTTTTCGGTTTTAGGGGGGGCGCTGCTCATCTCCGTCACGAAGCCGAAGAGCCAGCGCTGTCCGGAGACGTCTCCGTGGTCCTGTGGCCGGCAGGACTAAACGCCTTCGAAGGCGCGTGGAACGCTGTTCCCTTCCTTCCAAAGACGGTTCCTATTTTTCTACTTGCATTTTTTACAGGCTTTCAAACTGCTAGGTTGGCAGAAGCTGGGACCAGGAACAGGAGCTCACTCCGTGACGCAGCGCTAGGGGTTCGAACCGCCGAACTGCCGAACTTTCGGATCAACAAGCTCAACGTCTTAAGTCACTAATCCACCACAACCAACCTTTATTCTCTTGTAATCCCTTCCTCTGCAATCTCTTCACTTTAAGGGGTAAGAGAAAAAGAAACAGACATGGCTGGGCTGGGGAATTCTGGGAGTTGAAGTCCACAAGTCTTAAAATTGCCAAAGATGGACAGTTATGGTATAGACCCTAAAGTAAGGTAAGGGTAAAGGTTCCCCTCGCCCATTATTTTCAACTCTAAAGGGCGGTACTCATCTCTGTTACTAGGCCAAAAGCCAGCGCTGTCTGAAGACCTCTCCGTGGTCCTGTGGCCGGCAGGACTGAACGCCTGAAGGCGCATGGAATGCCGTTCCCTTCCCACCAAAATAGTGGTTCCTATTTTTCTACTTGCATTTTTTTTTTTTACGTCCTCTCGAACTGCTAGGTCGGCAGAAGCTGGGACAAGGCCCGGGAGCTCACTCCGTGACGCGGCGCTAGGGATTCGAACCGCCGAACTGCCGACCATTTGGATCGACAAGCTCTGCATCTTCACCACTGAGTCCCATTTAAGAGCATTAAGGGGCCCCAAATCTTTCTAGGGGGGGGTCTCTTCCCCCGTTTCCATTTGGAAATTTAGATTCTGGGGACAGAGAGGTTATGGGGGAATCCCCAAATAAATGGAAGCAGCCCATTGGAAGTTTTTTTGGAGGGTGGGGTCTTTAGCCTTAAAAATGAGTATAGGTAACCTCAACTTATTACCAGAATTTAGCCATCAATTTCTGTCACTCTGCAACTAGCGGTGTGAGTTTTGGACTGTTTTTACCCCCTCTTTCCCGCCACCATTGTTAAGTGAATCACTGCAGTTGTTAAGTGAGCAATATAGTCATTAAGCGAATCTGGCTTCCTCATTGACTTGGCTGGACTAGGAAGGTCATAAAAGAGGAGCCCTGGGGCGCTGCGGCCGTCATTAACACGAGTCAGTTGCTACCAAGCATCTGAATTTTGATCACACGATCGTAAAGGATGCCGAGACGGTTGTTAAGGGTGAAAAACGGCCGACAGTCGCTTTTTCCAGAGCAGCTGTAACTTCGGACGGTTGCTAAATGAACAGTTGTTGTTTTAAGTCGAGGACTGCCTGTCTAGGGTCTCCTGCCTTTGGGCAGGGGCTGGACTAGAAGATCTCTAAGGGTACTTTCCAACATTGGATCCCCTGGAACTCACTTGGGATCGCCACACTTCTGTCGTTGGTGTTCAGCTGACACAGGTGTTCTTTCTGGCTCACCTGTCAGGGCAAAAAAAAAAGGGGTGGGGGAAGCTACCTCAGAAATGTCCCCCAGATCTCTTCAGATCCAGCCCCCAAACCTCCAGTTTCAGGAGAAGTCTATCTGTATCTTCTTTTCTTCTCCAGAAATTTACCAGCAATATTTTATTGAAACCTTACCGTGTTTCCCCGAAAATAAGACCCTCACACACACACACTCACACTCACACACACACATATCTCCACCAAAAAAGGCACCAGGCCTTATTTATGAGGGGATATCATCCACTGACTGACCTCACTTGCGTGCGTCGCCGCCCGGCCTCCATTTTTGCAGTCCGGGATAAAAATCAAATCCATTCAGGTATTCAGACAAACCGAATACCAGAGACTCGTGAACAATATATAAAAGCTTTATTACAAAGTTTTTGCCAAAGGGAATTCTGCCCGTGGCAGAAAACATTTTCCCCCAGGAGGGCTGAGGTTTATATACAGGTTCAGATATACAGTCTCTGCTCCTTTCCTGGGTTCACAATCTATCCAAGCTACGTATCTCCCTACGCAACACCCATATTATTGTAGCGTAACACCTGTTTCCTTGTCCTGTTTACCCGTTCCTATTTCCGCCAACCTCCATCATTAACACGACACTGGTCAGCGTAAACTACCAAATATGTAATCTTTATGCAAAACCATAGAAAATAGATAATTTTTCCAGGAAATTATCTTAGGTTAACGCAGAGGTTAAAAATGGTGTTACCATTGCTGTAGATTTTCACAGGTATAATTTTTACATATCACACAGTCAGAGGCCTTTAGTAATTTCTTCTTCTGCGGATGGAAAAGTTTTCCTGAAGGTCTCTGCAGCCGATAGGATCGATCCTGAGCTTTGTTTTCAGCTCCAGAGGCCTTCAGGAAAGCCTTTGCCAGCCTTGCCGGCTGCAGAAGAAACGGGCCGGCCAGGCAGGTGTCTGGGGGGTGCGAGGCCTGGCTACACCTGTCCAAAGGTAAGTAGTAGGGCAGCCCTACCTGCCCCTCATCCCCACCCTAGTTTAATTTTTACCTGTCCACTCTGGAGTGGGTGGGATCTTAATTAGGGCTTATTTGGGGAGTAGGGCTTAAATTGGGAGGATGTGTGAAAATCAAGCTAAGGCTTACACAGAAACACACCTATACATACACACATTATACACAAACACCCACACCCACACATACTAATACAACCCTACACACAAATATGCAGCTACAGCACAAAACCACACCTACACACAAAAATATACATATACACACAAATACACACCTACACACCTACACACACAAATCAAATCAAATAAATAAATAAATACCTACACACACAAACACACACCTACACACATACCTACACACAAACACACTTATACACACACACACTACACACAAATATACATCTACACATACAAATACAAACCTACACAAATACGCACCTACAACACAAAAACACACCTGCACACACAAATACACACCTACACACCTACACACAAAAAATATACAAATACACACCTACACACACAAATATACCCCTACACACAAACACA